AAAATAAATAAAAAATAAATAAAAATAAAAAATAAAATAAAATGAAAATTATTGTAGTGGTTACATATACTTAACGTTATATTGTATTTAGCAATGATCATTTTTCACTAATTCCATTGAAGCAAATGATAATGGAAGCCAACTTATTACCCTGTTTGGTGTTACAGGTATGAACATACTAGGTAATACATTCTTTCCTCTCTAGCAGTTACACAAATCTATGTGGACATCCTCCAAGAACACAAAACTACATGGCCAGCGGCCGAGATAAACTTTTTTCAAAAGTCTTGTTATATATATGGCCGTTTTTTTTGTCATGACCCGTCGGTGCCCGCGGAGCTTCTCTGGCTAATGGATACTGCCTGGCCAATTTGATACTGTCTTTTTGCCACCGAGAGGGATTTGCTTGGAGATTACGGCCAAATCCCCTCGGGCTCAACTACCACGTAGCGCTTATTTACTTAATAGATAGGCGGGAGAAGCGCTCTTGGCTACCCAAGGAAACCGACTAACAGCCCGATACTAGTCTGGCTCCCAGGGTAAAGGATCTCCAACAGATGGAAAGAGAATCGTGATGTTTCCTGTTAGCCCCGGCCCGTGTCAGGACAACAAGGAAGCCAGAAACCGACCACAGGATACAGCAATGACACTTAAACTATACATACTAATGTGATCTACTATTTACATGTTCAACTTCTTCTCGCTTCTTGACGCAGTTATAGATGTACGAGGATATGGAACCAATAATACATGATTTCATTTGTCAAGTTTCATAAGAAATCTGAATTTTTCTACTTCATTTAAATGTGCAAAGCTGGGTAACTTATCTAGTATAAAGAATATAGGGAATCTCTCTCATTACTATATAACGTACAATCGGCTACAAAATGAAACTCATCCTCAATCTTATCTAAATCGCAAAATTGGCAAATCCTTTGCTCTAGAGGAGTGCGGTTGTGTCAGCCTTTTTTCTATGTGGAGTTTGTGTGAACTTATCCGGAGTTTTGTGATGGCTGTTCTGTGTCGAATGTTTGTAATTTTCAGATATTTAATGTTTGTAATTTTCAGATATTTTAATCACAATTTCTTGTCAGATTCTTCCTGCCCCACGGCCTGGCCATGGACGGGGACGGGAACTACTGGCTGACGGACACCGCCATGCACCAGGTCTTCAAGTTCCCGGCCAGCGGCGACTCCGTACCCCTCCTGGCGCTCGGGGAGGCCTTCCAGCCCGGAAGTGACGACAAACACTTCTGTAAGCCCGCCGACGTGGCGGTGGACGACAGTACCGGGGACTTCTTTGTTGCAGACGGGTAGGGAACGTTACATACAAGACGATTTCCCCCATGTGACCAAATAAATGAATTTTCTGACAACTTACCTTTTTGCAGTCAAATAAGGGATGGCTACTGTCCAAGCAGAGGTTTGGGTTTTGGGGGTATTTTTAGCATGTTTTTTAGGCTTTTTTTATCGGGGTTTCTCTTTTGCACTGAATTTGTTGGGTTTGGTGGGGGAAAAATTCAGTGCAAAGGAGAAACCCCGATAAAAAGCCTAAAAACACGCTAAAAATACCCCCAAACCCACACCTCTGCTTGGAGAGTAAGGGATGGCAAATTGGTAAACTTGCAACTTGAATGTACAATGTATTGAGGTAGATCTAGAAAGCTATTGGATCTTGTCCGAGGGCTATTATGGCATTCAAAGATATCGACGGTACAGTACAGTACAGCAATAGGAAACAGACAACTACTGTCTGAAAAACTTATACTACAACGATTGCTATTATGAGGTTTGACTTCTTCTTTGAAGGCAGTGGATAATGAATTGATCCACGTTTTGCATAACGAGTGGGTTTTGTGATCTTCGTAGGAACGTAGTCTTTTGGTGATCTTCCGAATGATGTAGAAATTGTATCAACTGTTTGGAATAATCTGTTTCTGTCGGTCTCATAGTGAGTGCATTGACTATTGGGGAATATTTACATAATATCTCTTGTGCATGGGTACGGCCCCTAATTACAGTGAGTCTTTGAAATGAAACTACAGATACATTATTGACAGCCACTTCTGTTGTCCGTATAGCTACTGCAACAGTCGCATCATGAAGTTCTCCAAGGACGGCTCCCTCCTGCTGCAGTGGGGGCACCCCAGCCCCCAGGGGCACGGCTTGTCTGGCCCTCCCCCCGGGACGTTCAGTGTCCCCCACTCCCTGGCCATGGCCCGGGACCGTGGGGAGGTGTGCGTGGCAGACAGGGAGAACGGACGGGTGCAGTGCTTCGACATCAAAGAGGGAAAATTCACCAGACTGTTCCGTGAGAGGGAGTTCGGAGGCCGGGTGTTTGCTGTAGACTACAACCCAGACCAGGGTAAGGGTGTCCGTCAATTATTACTAAGTAATAGTCAATTAGGCCACACCAAGTAAATTTTATGGATGACGTCCTTTGGAGACCCTAAATCTAAAGCGAGAGGGCGAAAAAAAAAACAAGAAGGGCCTTAAAAAACAAGATGCCTAGATTAGAAATATACTAAGAGACGACAAATGTTAGGACACAAATTGAATGAGGTGACACAGTGTAACAAGCAAGAAGTCTTTCATTCATCATCAAAACAGCAATAAATCAGGTGGAACAGCAGTTGTCGTCCTGTCCTGTTTTCGCGTTATGGGTTTCACGTCAATCTGACGATTTGCGGCACTGTCGTGACTCTTTGGTCATAGTTACAGGAAGCGCAATTTCTTGTTTTTTTTTCTATGAACAGGCCAACATAAATGCGCGCGAGGACGTCATCCATAAAATTTACTTGGTGTGGCCTTCTACACATTGCACGGCTCGTAGCTAAGATTGTGTGTTTCGCCAAAGTGTGGTCATACCCACACAGAGCAATAAATATAAGAACACGGTACACACGTTAGACCCTACTGGATGCTCTGTAACTTGATAAACAGTCTCTATGCTATTTAATGTAGATGAACAGAGTATCCTGAACAAACGAACGCTGCCGTCTACCTTGCTCCACCCTCCGCAATAAAGCACACTAGCACATTAACCGCCACGCCACATCATGCTGAGGCTACTGTACATATAGCATTAGAGATTAGAGCAACAATATAGTGCTACATATAATCAAATAGACGGTATAATAGGCCCGCAGGTAGCCGCGAAGCAATGTATAGAGCGGATGACTATCTCCGAGGTGCTAGAACGCCATCAAATCAAAGGCATGTCGCTCTCCAACATGGTGTTTGTTGTGGGGTAAGCTTTCAACCAAGAGGTCCCGAGTTCAAATCCTGCCATGCCAAAACACATCTTGTGTTTTTGAGATTTATAAGACTTTCCTCACTCCATTCGGGTGAAAATGAGTATGTCTATTGTCCGTTGTCCTCTGCGTTAGTGGCGGCATAAAAATAGGTTGAAACAACCTGAGTGTGCCGTCTTGTGATAAATGTTGGAATGAAAAAAAGAAACCTTGTGTTTTTACAGGAGGGGTCCTGCACCTTGTGAACGGACCGACGCTGGTCGGCGCCGCCATGCCTGTGGAGGGCTTCACGGTCAGGTTCAATGACGGGGAGATCCTGGACACGTTCCGACCAACCGCACGGGTAAGGCACGAGCTGAGCACGAGTAGTAGATGTTTAGATCGAGACATTAGATACAGCTCACACATGTATCAGGTACAAAATTATACGCAATGCCGGTGATCCACGAAAACATGTCCTTACCATACTAGTATACTAGACATATTAATGCTGGGATAATCATTTTCATCTCTATTCCTTTGGTAGCTTTAAATTCTGAGACACTGCAAAAAATCCATTCTTCAAGCACGCCTTACGACATGCGACATGTACCGTTTCTTCCTTCGTGTGTACCTTTTTCAGCATGCTTTAAGGTGTGCTTAGATAGTGAGAGATCCTTGACACAGATGTGACCTTCAACAAGTCTTAAACGCCATTTTCCTCACCCGTTAACGGTGTCTTTTCTGCATGACGTCACATTTCCTGTCGACTCAAATTGGACGGATGTCCCCTTCCGTAACAACGTCCCCCATTGGCACACAACAACCCCATATCTGTGTCTGTCCGGTTTGTGACTAGACAGAAACTTTAATGAATGAATGAAGACCTTTATTGTACATTTGTACAGAACTAAGTACAGGTCGCATGGGTACAGAACATGAACATAAACATATATACATTACATACATATGACCATATAGGAGTGTAAATAAATGTCTAATTTCTATTCTTTTCGGCTTCATCTCGCTTAGTAGTGATTGTAAGGCACATGTATGCGGCTGTGAGATTACTTATGTAGGTTTATCAAAAGTTAAAAGGAATACAAATTTCTCTCTACTAGTCAAATATCTGAAATATACTTAATACATGGCTTAAAAAATATGAGTCTATCTCTACTGTACAAGGGGCAATCTATGATGAAATGTATTTCATCTTCTATTTGGCCTAAACTACAGAATTGACAGGTTCTTTGTTCTACAAATAGTTCTCTTATGACATTACGAAGAAGAGAATTTTTGTTACACATCGTTGTCTTTCCCCCTCCAGGGTTTCAGCCAGCCCCATGACGTTGCCTCTGCTCCTGACGACTCTGCTGTCTACGTTGTTGAGATCGGCCCCAACAAAGTGTGGAAGTTTGTTCCCGCCAACGAGCAACCCAACGTCATCTTACCGCCATAGGCTCGTATCTGCACACAACACAAATGTGTTAGTGGAGCAGATAACATCAAATTTTGGAGGAATCTTTCACTTTGTGATACAAGCACCAAACTTGGTACAAATACTCATGAGACATTACTCTTTTGAAAAAAGTACGCGGGCCACTTGATTTGACTTTTGGAGCCCCCTAGCGGCGCTTTTTGGTACTGCAGCCGACCTTCCGGGCTTTGTATCTCCTGTTCTAGAAAGCTGTTAAAGTCAGGAAAAAGTGACGTAAATTTGGTGTCTCTAGCAGCTTGCGTTAGAACTGCAGAGGCGTTTTTGCCGGTGCAAAATTTGCTCCAACTTGGAGTCCAAGGGCGCTAATTTGACTT